AGCTGTAATCTTCTTTCTTGGAGACGTGGCTACTAAAGTCATAATCGAATCATCTTCAGATTCTTCAGTCTCAATTTCGGACTTTTCTTCGTTAGATTCTTCGGTCTCGGATTCATTTGAACTTTCGATTATAATAGGATCTTCTGGTTCTTGTCCCAGATTCAGATAAGTTCTTTGATTGTTGTGATTATTATTTGTTTGATAATCGTTTTGTTGTTGGTTCTGATTTGGACTTCTTTGATTGTATTGATTAGGTTGATTTTGTTCATTTCTTCTAGCATTATTTCGTGATTGATATCCTTCATTTCATCTCATATTGACATTCGGGGTTGGATATCGTTGGAATTGTCTGTTTTCTCGAGTTTTCCACCTAATTGGTGGTGATCGATTATACACCGGCGATGTGTAATGATAATTCTGTTGATAATAGTTATTATTCGGCCTATTTTGATTAGTATACCGATTTCTATTTTGTTGTTCTGCTTACATAATGTGACAGTTTTGTTTAATATGCCCTATTCTTCCACAATAATGGCATTTTATTTCATTTTTCGTCTGGTCTTTCTCGCGTCGCATTTCCCTTTGCTCGACTACCAACGTTTGGATGGTCTGTTCCAAACGTCGTATTTGTCGACTTTCGGTACTCTTCGTTTCTCCTTCCAATACCGCATTTAATCTTAGGACTGAAAATTTTTCTTTAAAGTTTCTTATCTAAGCCTCGAATAAAGAGATCGGCTTTCTGTTTAATGGAATAGTATTCATTTCCTGGATCAGCGCGTCGTAGTAATTTTGAAAATTTGCCGTAGTATTGGACGACGCTATCATCAGTCTTCTTCCTTAAGGTTGTGATCCGTGTATGTAATTTAGCAGCTATTGCTATATTTGAAAATTGTTCGGCAAATATTTGAATAAATTGATCCATATCTTCTTTTATTCCTTTGGTAATTCTTGGTACCAATCGGCCGCTATGTCTTTTAAGGCAATGGGTATTTGACGTAAAGCTGTTGCTCTATCCCAGCTATTAGCTTCACTGACTTTAATCAAGTCATGTAACCATTCAATTGGGTTTTCATCATCGTCATCTCCATGAAATGAAGGAATTTTATGTTCTTTTATTATGTGGGTGGCGTTAGATAGGGTGATTTCTGGAAATTCTGGTATAGCTAAATTTTTTGATTTCTTTGGATCATCGGAATCGGATCCAGAACTCGAGTCAGAATTATCAGTAAGTATTTTCTTCTTTTCTTTTTTATTTCTTTCTTTGTTTTTCTTACTATCATCTTCTTTGTTTTTCTTAAGTAG